AGACACAAGAGCAGTGGTACAGTACCCATGCTGCGATTTCGACAACCAAATTTGTTCGAAGATCGCTTTCTTGAATGCCTTACGCAGGATTGATAAAAGGAATGTTGGTTGTTACATCCGACTTTTCACAACTTTTGAACACTGGTACTACATTAGCTTTCTTGGAAAATAAAGAAACTTTCTCCAAGTATTAATAGATTTATGGAAAATAAAACATAGCGGGACAGTTTATTTATTTATTGCACAGTTTTCAAGTAGTGCAAATGATACCCCGTCTGGTCAAATAGCCCTGTTAGAAACTAAACTATTGAGATGTGTTAATGTCTTCTAAATAATTAGTAATACTACTAAGATAATTTTCTGAGACACGATTAAATTCATAGCAATAATCTGTATCATTTTCCTGAGTGAAAACAGAGACAACAAAAAAATCATTAAATCTGAATATTAAGTGGGGTAGACGTTTTCCTGTCGCCATACCTAACAACGTTAGGGACATTACTTTTAGATTTGATGTGACCCCCACATACGGTTATTATTTATACATTCCTCAATATTAGCTTCATATTTCCTTAGCTTGGCCGACAGCAATGTGAAAGGCATTATGTGCATCGGCAAACTTGTCGTAAGATGCACGTAAACCGATGATAAAATACATTGTATTTTTCTTCTTCTTCAATGTTACGTTACGCGAGTGATGAATCCGTATTTAATATGACCAAAAATACTCATTGCACACTGTTTGAAAATGATTACTACCATTTATTCCATCAATCCGCAGTTAATGCGAGGAAGAATGCCGATGAAAATATAATGACTCAATTTTATGTGTTGTTAAACTGTTAAGTGTGAACCTAACTACATGTAATCACTCGAGTACATACGTACGTATTATTGTAATTACAATGTGTATAATAAAAGTGTAAATTACAAATATGTTATAGCAATTAATAAAAGTCAATTTATGTTTAACAGGTGGAAATTGGATCTAGGTGTTTTTGCACCACGACGACAACTACAGTGTATTGTCCTGGAAGCTAAACCGTTGTTGATATCTCGATTGATGTTTGCCTGAATTGTTGCGCGATGGCAGGACCCGATGTCAGCGATATGGATGAACCACGATCGCGGTCAGGATGACCAGCGACACTGACGCCTACGTTCGATGTGTCTCTGGTGACTTGACGTAGCAGGAACGGGAAGGGATGACGATTACGTTGGTTCAACTAATCTTGAGGCTGGATCCACGGCTTCGCGAAGGCTTCCACTACGCACACACTTCTTCCCTGTGTAACCTTTCCGCCACCGTGTTTCATCTTTGGTGCGCAAAGAACAGTGGGGGTTAGGCCCCGGAACATGGACCCAAAAACTTTCGTCCACAGACACTTGAATACTGGATTGAATCGATGTATAGTGGCTATTTTCTACAATAAATGAGAGGAATCTCCTTACTCGAACGATATTACCCAGGACAATGATCTTCACAAAGCACAATATCCAAAATAGTGCATGCAAGGAATATGCCCCGTAACATGAGTGGAAAGAAATTTAAAAACAAATAATGGTGAAATATTTGAAAGATGTTGAAATAAAGGTGAAATAATTGAAAGATATTGAAATAATAGTGAGATAATTGAAAGATATTGACATAATGATGAAATAATGATGAAATAATGGTGAAATAATTGAAAGATATTGAAATAATGACGAAAAAATTGAAAGATATTAAAATAATGGTAAAATAATTGAAAGATATTGAAATAATGGTGAAATAATTGAAAGATATTGAAATAAGGGTGAGATAATTGAAAGATATTGAAATAATTCTATTTTGGCGGTGATCTCACCCCATATTTTACAATACTGTATTTTTATTTATTTCTGATTTTTTTGTAGTTATTAGACCTTTTAAATTTGTAGTTATTTTTAGTTGCTTTATTTTGCACTATTTTTACCTTACTGTATCCACAGTAGATTACAGTTGCGTAATAAACTATTATTATTATTATGGTACCCAATTCATATATCACCAATACCATAGTACAGAGTTATGTTAATAGTGAGTCGAAAATAAGACTAATATACTACATTTTTAATTAAGGATGAGATTACACATGTAATGATTCGGAGCAGCAATGGAAGCCGACCATTTAATTGATAAAAATCTTGTCTAGATTTTAAATGGCCGAACTTACAGAAAAATCAGTCTCGTATTGGAAAGCATGTTTTCGGGAAGGAGATGTATCGAGGTGGTGTGGCGTGGTGAGTAGATTTCCTCCCCAGGACGCCGAGTTGGGCGTCGGTACTGAAAAGATGGCGGTGGATATGGTGTCGAGCGACCAACATAGTAAACCAAACTTAGAACTCGCGATACTGGTGCAGACGACTACGGTCGAACAACCATGAAAAATAAGTGGCAGGAAATTGGTGTTTCACGTTTAGCGCAGAAAAAAGAGCACGCCCGCAGTTGGACAACCAATCATTTTAATATTGGTCACGATGTACCACAGATCATCTCCACGTCCTTTGTAAACAACACATATACGATGTGCCAGCATCCAATGGCGGGATGATCGGCTTCCTTTGTGCACAATCAGCGTCAACTTCGCGAGAGAAACACGACGCACTTGCTAAGCCAGACCGTCTGGTGGCGCCCTACTATTATATCAATAACCAATTACACTATTATTCTGTTCCCGAATTGGACATTTGTTTATTTGGAGTAATTTCCAATTCTACGCCAGGTCCTTAGTAATTAATGATTCCACGTATTTATTTTGCCGTTATTTGACAAACGTAAAATGCCATAATGTTAATTCGCGGAAATTTAAACACACTGATACTGATAATTACAAATTTTCCAAAAAATACTAAATTTGCTATCCCATGGAAATAATTGAAATCAAAATACTTGGCAATATATTAAGTTTTGCGTCGCATGCACACGATTGAAATATCATATAAAATGGGCCTAATATACTAATGTTTTATTTATTTAATTGTAATAACGAGTTTACATCCTGGAATGGCCACGATGTATCACGGATCGTAGGTACGGGACAGAATGACTAAATACTAAAACAGCGTAAAAACGTTAACAAACGATAAATTTAAATAAAATAAAATAAAAT